TTGCTAGCATAACTGTTACTAGCCTAACTGTTGCTAGCCTAACTGTTGCTAGCCTAACTGTTGCTAGCATAACTGTTGCTAGCCTAACTGTTACTAGCCTAACTGTTGCTAGCCTAACTGTTGCTAGCATAACTGTTGCTAGCCTAACTGTTGTTAGCCTAACTGTTGCTAGCCTAACTGTTGCTAGCATAACTGTTGCTAGCATAACTGTTACTAGCCTAACTGTTGCTAGCCTAACCGTTGCTAGCCTAACTGTTACTAGCATAACTGTTACTAGCCTAACTGTTGCTAGCCTAACTGTTGCTAGCCTAACTGTTGCTAGCCTAACTGTTGCTAGCCTAACTGTTACTAGTCTAACTGTTGCTAGCCTAACTGTTGCTAGCCTAACTGTTGCTAGCCTAACTGTTGCTAGCCTAACTGTTACTAGCCTAACTGTTGCTAGCCTAACTGTTACTAGCCTAACTGTTGCTAGCCTAACTGTTGCTAGCATAACTGTTGCTAGCCTAACTGTTACTAGCCTAACTGTTGCTAGCCTAACTGTTGCTAGCATAACTGTTGCTAGCCTAACTGTTGCTAGCCTAACTGTTGCTAGCCTAACCGTTGCTAGCATAACTGTTACTAGCCTAACTGTTGCTAGCCTAACTGTTGCTAGCCTAACTGTTGCTAGCATAACTGTTGCTAGCCTAACTGTTACTAGCCTAACTGTTGCTAGCCTAACTGTTGCTAGCATAACTGTTGCTAGCCTAACTGTTGTTAGCCTAACTGTTGCTAGCCTAACTGTTGCTAGCATAACTGTTGCTAGCATAACTGTTACTAGCCTAACTGTTGCTAGCCTAACGTTGCTAGCCTAACTGTTACTAGCATAACTGTTACTAGCCTAACTGTTGCTAGCCTAACTGTTACTAGTCTAACTGTTGCTAGCCTAACTGTTGCTAGCCTAACTGTTGCTAGCCTAACTGTTGCTAGCCTAACTGTTGCTAGCCTAACTGTTACTAGCCTAACTGTTACTAGCATAACTGTTACTAGCCTAACTGTTACTAGCCTAACTGTCGCTAGCCTAACTGTTGCTAGCCTAACTGTTGCTAGTCTAACTGTTGCTAGCCTAACTGTTACTAGCCTAACTGTTGCTAGTCTAACTGTTGCTAGCCTAACTGTTACTAGCCTAACTGTTACTAGCCTAACTGTTGCTAGCCTAACTGTTGCTAGCCTAACTGTTGCTAGCCTAACTGTTACTAGCCTAACTGTTGCTAGCCTAACTGTTGCTAGCCTAACTGTTACTAGCCTAACTGTTACTAGCCTAACTGTTGCTAGCCTAACTGTTGCTAGCCTAACTGTTGCTAGCCTAACTGTTACTAGCCTAACTGTTGCTAGCCTAACTGTTGCTAGCCTAACTGTTGCTAGCCTAACTGTTGCTAGCCTAACTGTTACTAGCCTAACTGTTGCTAGCCTAACTGTTGCTAGCCTAACTGTTGCTAGCCTAACTGTTGCTAGCCTAACTGTTGCTAGCCTAACTGTTGCTAGCCTAACTGTTTCTAGCCTAACTGTTGCTAGCCTAACTGTTGCTAGCCTAACTGTTGCTAGCCTAACTGTTGCTAGCCTAACTGTTACTAGCCTAACTGTGGCTAGCCTAACTGTTGCTAGTCTAACTGTCACTAGCCTAACTGTTGCTAGCCTAACTGTTGCTAGCCTAACTGTTGCTAGCCTAACTGTTGCTAGCCTAACTGTTACTAGCCTAACTGTTGCTAGCCTAACTGTCGCTAGCCTAACTGTTACTAGCCTAACTGTTGCTAGCCTAACTGTTGCTAGTCTAACTGTTGCTAGCCTAACTGTTGCTAGCCTAACTGTTGTTAGCCTAACTGTTGCTAGCCTAACTGTTACTAGCCTAACTGTTGCTAGCCTAACTGTTGCTAGTCTAACTGTTACTAGCCTAACTGTTGCTAGTCTAACTGTTGCTAGCCTAACTGTTACTAGCCTAACTGTTGCTAGCCTAACTGTTGCTAGCCTAACTGTTGCTAGCCTAACTGTTACTAGCCTAACTGTTGCTAGCCTAACTGTTGCTAGCCTAACTGTTACTAGCCTAACTGTTGCTAGCCTAACTGTTGCTAGTCTAACTGTTGCTAGCCTAACTGTTGCTAGCCTAACTGTTGCTAGCCTAACTGTTGCTAGCCTAACTGTTGCTAGCATAACTGTTGCTAGCCTAACTGTTGCTAGCCTAACTGTTGCTAGCCTAACTGTTACTAGCATAACTGTTGCTAGCCTAACTGTTGCTAGCCTAACTGTTACTAGCCTAACTGTTGCTAGCCTAACTGTTGCTAGCCTAACTGTTGCTAGCCTAACTGTTGCTAGCCTAACTGTTACTAGCCTAACTGTTACTAGCCTAACTGTCGCTAGCCTAACTGTCGCTAGCCTAACTGTTGCTAGCCTAACTGTTGCTAGCCTAACTGTTGCTAGCCTAACTGTTGCTAGCATAACTGTTGCTAGCCTAACTGTTGCTAGCCTAACTGTTGCTAGCCTAACTGTTACTAGCATAACTGTTGCTAGCCTAACTGTTGTTAGCCTAACTGTTGCTAGCCTAACTGTTGCTAGCCTAACTGTTGCTAGCCTAACTGTTACTAGCATAACTGTTGCTAGCCTAACTGTTACTAGCATAACTGTTGCTAGCCTAACTGTTGTTAGCCTAACTGTTGCTAGCCTAACTGTTGCTAGCCTAACCGTTGCTAGCCTAACTGTTGCTAGCCTAACTGTTACTAGCCTAACCGTTGCTAGCCTAACTGTCACTAGCCTAACTGTTACTAGCATAACTGTTGCTAGCCTAACTGTTGTTAGCCTAACTGTTGCTAGCCTAACTGTTACTAGCCTAACCGTTGCTAGCCTAACTGTTGCTAGCCTAACTGTTACTAGCCTAACCGTTGCTAGCCTAACCGTTGCTAGCCTAACCGTTGCTAGCCTAACTGTTGCTAGCATAGCCACGGGAAAGCCTTTGGGAACTATTTTATTTTCTGTCATTAAATAAACCTTTGGGCATTCCTAAAAGTGGACTGAAGTTTATGTTGTGTGTTCTGTTGGTATAAAGCCGTGTAATAAAAATAATAAAAATAATAAAAATAATAAAAATAATAAAAATAAGTACCGACAGCGCGTCGGGGTCCGCTTCGCCCTGAAGGTACTTATTTTCCGATAATGACCTGCGTAATATACGTTATCCCTTACTTATTGTAGATATATATTCTGGATAGCAGTATGGTAAATTCTAGTACTACTTTAACTGGTAATGCTAATGCTAACTGGTAATGCTAATGCTAACTGGTGATGCTAATGCTAACTGGTGATGCTAATGCTAACTGGTGAGGCTAAATATACAGTACTAACTAACTTAGTTATTTACTAAGGTTAACTGTTAATGCTAACTGGGGCAAGTAAACAGTATGTTGCTATGGTTACTAGTGCTAGCTCTTCTCTACTTCTCTACTCCATTTCAAAATTATAAGATACTTCATAAAAAAAATCTCAGAAATAAACGGCATGAAGAAACAGAAAAAGTCACAACGTTTGGAAGATCAAAAATCATGTGAGCCTCAGATCCTCACATTCTGACTCTTTTTGACAAGTTAGAAACATGAAACAATTATTCCACTGCATCAGTATCATACAGTACTGAGTCATTAGTCATTTATACACTACAAGGTTTTTCATACAGCACGGTTCACACAAGACGACTCCGAGCAAAACAAGAAACAGTCACACAAGGAATTAAATCAGCAGGAGTCCAGTCCCTGTGCTCCTCAGAGTCCCAGCAGGAGTCCAGTCCCTGTGCTCCTCAGAGTCCCAGCAGGAGTCCAGTCCCTGTGCTCCTCAGAGTCCCAGCAGGAGGCCAGTCCCTGTGCTCCTCAGAGTCCCAGCAGGAGCCAGTCCCTGTGCTCCTCAGAGTCCAGCAGGAGGCCAGTCCCTGCTCCTCAAGCCCAGCAGAGCCAGTCCTGTGCCCTCAGAGTGCAGCCCTGTGTCCTCAGAGTCCCAGCAGCAGTCCCAGCAGGAGGCCCGGAGTCAGAGTCCAGTCCCTGTGCTCCTCAGAGTCCCAGCAGGAGGCCAGTCCCTGTGCTCCTCAGAGTCCCAGCAGGAGGGCCAGTCCCTGTGCTCCTCAGAGTCCCAGCAGGAGTCCAGTCCCTGTGCTCCTCAGAGTCCCAGCAGGAGGCCAGTCCCTGTGCTCCCAGAGTCCCAGCAGGAGGCCAGTGCTCCTCAGAGTCCCAGCAGGAGGCCAGTCCCTGTGCTCCTCAGAGTCCCAGCAGGAGGCCAGTCCCTGTGCTCCTCTGTCCCTGTGTAGCGTGTTTTCATTCTGTATAAACAGTCTGTGCTACACAAATAAACATGTCTAAAAATACACATACTCAGTTTGTATTCTGACACTACTCTAAAGTCTCTCTCTATCTCGAGGATATTGATCTCCTGATGTATGTCGTGAGTCTGTCAGTCCCCTCTCCCCCTCTCTCTCCCCCTCTCTCTCTCAGTCTCTCTCCATCTCCCTCCCCCCTCCCTCCCCCCTCTCTCTCTCAGTCTCTCTCCGTCTCTCTCTCCCTCTCTCTCTCCGTCTCTCTCTCAGTCTCTCTCCCTCTCCCTCCCCCTCCCCCCTCCCTCCCCCCTCTCTCTCTCAGTCTCTCTCCGTCTCCCTCCCCCCTCCCTCTCCCTCCCCCTCCATCTCCATCTCTCTCTGAGGTGAGTGGTCCTGATGCTGCGTCTGTCTGGGCTCCATCCGTCACACACTGCATTAGACTGAATACATCACTCCTGAAGCAGCTCGTCCTGGTCCTCACTGACCACAGACTGTCAGTCTGAGAGAAACACAGACTGAGACGGGTCAGCAGGGCGGTCAGCAGGGCGGTCAGCAGGGCGGGCAGGGAGGTCAGCAGGGAGGTCAGCAAGGAGGTCAGTCAGCGGAGGTCAGAGGGGTCAGCAGGGCGGTCAGCAGGGAGGTCAGCAGGAGGTCAGCAGGGCGGTCAGCAGGGCGGTCAGCAGGGGGTCAGCAGGGAGGTCAGCAGGGAGGTCAGCAAGGAGGTCAGCAGGGCGGTCAGCAGGGCGGTCAGCAGGGAGGTCAGCAGGGCGGTCAGCAGGGCGGTCAGCAGGGCGGTCAGCAGGGCGGTCAGCAGGGAGGTCAGCAGGGAGGTCAGCAGGGCGGTCAGCAGGGAGGTCAGCAGGGCGGTCAGCAAGGAGGTCAGCAGGGCGGTCAGCAGGGAGGTCAGCAGGGCGGTCAGCAGGGAGGTCAGCAGGGCGGTCAGCAGGGCGGTCAGCAGGGCGGTCAGCAGGGCGGTCAGCAGGGCGGTCAGCAAGGAGGTCAGCAGGGCGGTCAGCAGGGAGGTCAGCAGGGAGGTCAGCAGGGAGGTCAGCAGGGAGGTCAGCAGGGCGGTCAGCAGGGCGGTCAGCAAGGAGGTCAGCAGGGAGGTCAGCAGGGAGGTCAGCAGGGCGGACAGCAGGGCGGTCAGCAGGGCGGTCAGCAGGGCGGTCAGCAGGGCGGTCAGTGGGGCGGTCAGCAGGGCGGTCAGCAGGGAGGTCAGCAGGGAGGTCAGCAGGGCGGTCAGCAAGGAGGTCAGCAGGGCGGTCAGCAGGGCGGTCAGCAGGGAGGTCAGCAAGGAGGTCAGCAGGGCGGTCAGCAGGGAGGTCAGCAGGGCGGTCAGCAGGGCGGTCAGCGGGGAGGTCAGCGGGGAGGTCAGCAGGGCGGTCAGCAGGGCGGTCAGCAGGGCGGTCAGCGGGGAGGTCAGCAGGGCGGTCAGCAGGGCGGTCAGCAGGGCGGTCAGCAGGGAGGTCAGCAGGGCGGTCAGCAAGGAGGTCAGCAGGGCGGTCAGCGGGGAGGTCAGCAGGGCGGTCAGCAGGGCGGTCAGCAAGGAGGTCAGCAGGGCGGTCAGCAGGGAGGTCAGCAGGGCGGTCAGCAGGGCGGTCAGCAGGGAGGTCAGCAGGGCGGTCAGCAGGGCGGTCAGCGGGGAGGTCAGCAGGGCGGTCAGCAAGGAGGTCAGCAGGGAGGTCAGCAGGGCGGTCAGCAGGGAGGTCAGCAGGGCGGTCAGCAAGGAGGTCAGCAGGGCGGTCAGCAGGGAGGTCAGCAGGGCGGTCAGCAAGGAGGTCAGCAGGGCGGTCAGCAGGGCGGTCAGCAGGGCGGTCAGCAGGGCGGTCAGCAGGGCGGTCAGCAAGGAGGTCAGCAGGGCGGTCAGCGGGGCGGTCAGCAGGGCGGTCAGCAAGGAGGTCAGCAGGGCGGTCAGCAGGGCGGTCAGCAAGGAGGTCAGCAGGGCGGTCAGCAGGGCGGTCAGCAGGGCGGTCAGCAGGGCGGTCAGCGGGGCGGTCAGCAGGGAGGTCAGCAGGGCGGTCAGCGGGGAGGTCAGCAGGGCGGTCAGCGGGGAGGTCAGCATGGAGAGACTCCACCAGAGGCTCCACCAGAGGCTCCCCCAGAGACTCCACCAGAGGCTCCACCAGAGGCTCCCCCAGAGGCTCCCCCAGAGGCTCCCCCAGAGACTCCACCAGAGGCTCCACCAGAGGCTCCCCCAGAGGCTCCCCCAGAGACTCCCCCAGAGGCTCCACCAGAGGCTCCCCCAGAGACTCCACCAGAGGCTCCCCCAGAGACTCCACCAGAGGCTCCACCAGAGACTCCACCAGAGACTCCCCCAGAGGCTCCCCCAGAGACTCCCCCAGAGGCTCCCCCAGAGACTCCCCCAGAGGCTCCACCAGAGACTCCCCCAGAGGCTCCCCCAGAGACTCCCCCAGAGGCTCCCCCAGAGACTCCCCCAGAGGCTCCACCAGAGACTCCCCCAGAGGCTCCACCAGAGACTCCCCCAGAGGCTCCCCCAGAGACTCCCCCAGAGGCTCCCCCAGAGACTCCCCCAGAGGCTCCACCAGAGACTCCCCCAGAGGCTCCCCCAGAGACTCCCCCAGAGACTCCCCCAGAGGCTCCCCCAGAGACTCCCCCAGAGACTGAACACAAGGGTCTGGGATCAAGCCCATACCAAACTCCTTCAACAGATCAGAAAATAATCGACCAATCAGGATCGCCGGTGTTACGTGGGGTTTGCACCGCCTTCTCAAGCGCGTCTCAGGCGGCAGCGAAAGCAATCCAAGATGGTGGACATGAAGTCCGTGATTTTAAAAAAAAAGAACAAAGTTTAAATACGAACAAATTAAGACACGGATGTCACTTTTAATGCAATTTAAGGCAAGATGTTGATAGTTCCATGTCGATGGTTCCATGTTGATAGTTCCATGTTGATAGTTCCATGTCGATGGTTCCATGTTGATAGTTCCATGTCGATGGTTCCATGTTGATAGTTCCATGTCGATGGTTCCATGTTGATAGTTCCATGTTGATAGTTCCATGTCGATGGTTCCATGTTGATAGTTCCATGTCGATGGTTTAAGTGTTCCTGTGACAACACTACGCAGCAGGGTTGCCAGGTTGGGCAACACTACGCAGCAGGGTTGCCAGGTTGGGCAACACTACGCAGCAGGGTTGCCAGGTTGGGCAACACTACGCAGCAGGGTTGCCAGGTTGGGTGGTTTCTCACATACTTTTTTCCAAGAGACTTGTAGGTAATGAATAAACAGAATCATGATCGTCTAAGTTGATCACTTTACGGTTTTAGCCAAAAAAAACTTTCGGTGTGTTTTTTTTTTGGGACATTCTCATTTTGGGGCTGGAAAATCTTGCCGGCATTTGGCAACCCATGGGAGTCGTGTGCTTCGATGTGAGTGGTTGAAGGAAGACGTTATTCAAGATAACAGACAAGTAGTTTATCCAATCACAAACAAGGATTTTTCACAAGGCCCCGCCTTCTGAAATGTATCTGCTCTGAAGCAGAGCCAGACTCTGTGAAGCTCAGAGAACTACAAGGGTCTGGGCAGAGTCAGGCATAGGAGTAAAAAAATAGGTTATGGCATGAATTTAAAACAATCCTCTTCATAAAGACTAGTATCACATCTAGAAACATAAGTAAGTAAGTCATGTTTATTTATATAGCACATGTATACAGACTAAGATCACCCAAAGGTCTTTACAGAGTCAGGGTTTGTTCCATTCTCTCCACACGGTGATGAAGAGACACTAGAACACACTGGTCCATCAAAGCCTCCGACCAAACACCCCACACTCACTACATTCAGACATGCCTATGCAGACACGGGGAGAACATGCAAACTCCTCATTAAGGCCCTGTTCCAACCTAAATGAACAGTTTAACGGTTTTGATCTGAAAAAGACTAAAAAAGGTTCAATATTTTGCAGAACAACTCAGATTAATATTTTACTCAGACCAGTGTCCTCCACGACCAGGCCTTGAATGAAGCCGATATGGAGGAGCAGCGGCTCTACTCCAAGCATTCACACTTACTCTGCAGCTCCTCGAGTAGAAAGGTTTCTTTTTTGTTTGTCCTTCCTTCTCTTTTTTATGACTTTTGTGCCATAAAATAAAAGTAGCAGCGAAAGAATCTTTTAAACTGAAATGTCGCGGCTCGAGCTGAGTTTCATCAAAGGATTTCATCTGATTCTGGGTCACTTTGATTATTGTCTGTTTTCAGGACAGTGGACCCAGACTGTCGCGCTGCTTTCCGGCTGTGGCCACAGAGATGGGAGTCGCCTACAGGGGGCGCAGTCACAACTATGTACATGTTTTTACTGGTAAGGGAAACCGTAGAACCCGGAGGAAACCTACGTAGACATGGGGAGAACATGCAAACTCTACTCAGAAAGGCCCTGTTCCGACCGGGATTCGAACCCAGGACCATCTTGCTGAGAAGCGAGAGTGCTATCCACTGATGCTATTCAATGTTTGGATTCTGGGTTAATATCAAACAGAAAAAATCCTTTTCACTCCAAACACCAGTTATTCTGCCTGAGACAGTGTTCATGGTTTTACACTGGTCCAGACCAGAGCAGAGAGGATTCATGGTTTTACACTGGTCCAGACCAGAGCAGAGAGGATTCATGGTTTTACACTGGTCCAGACCAGAGCAGAGAGGATTCATGGTTTTACACTGGTCCAGACCAGAGCAGAGAGGATTCATGGTTTTACACTGGTCCAGACCAGAGCAGAGAGGATTCATGGTTTTACACTGGTCCAGACCAGAGCAGAGAGGATTCATGGTTTTACACTGGTCCAGACCAGAGCAGAGAGGATTCATGGTTTTACACTGGTCCAGACCAGAGCAGAGAGGATTCATGGTTTTACACTGGTCCAGACCAGAGCAGAGAGGATTCATGGTTTTACCAGGACCTTTAGCACCAGGATTCTTGATTCTCGTCTAATTCATTCAATTCTCTCTCAATAAAAAAGCCTGACTTTAGCTCTTCCTGTCGTCTGATTGGCTTCTGTCGTTTGGCTTCTGTCGTCTGATTGGCTTCTGTCGTTTGGCTTCTGTCGTCTGATTGGCTTCTGTCGTTTGGCTTCTGTCGTCTGATTGGCTTGTGTCGTTTGGCTTCTGTCGTCTGATTGGCTTCTGTCGTTTAGATTCTGTCGTCTGATTGGCTTCTGTCGTTTGGCTTCTGTCGTCTGATTGGCTTCTGTCGTTTGGCTTCTGTCGTCTGATTGGCTTCTGTCGTTTGGCTTCTGTCGTCTGATTGGCTTCTGTCCAGTGAGAAACCGCCCACAGAGAAAAACCAAGCAGCCTTCGACGACAGACAATACACTAAACATTTTCCAACAAATGAGAATGCTCGATACTTTCAGCACTTTCTTGGAAACGCTGCTGATTTACAGTCTCCAGTCCCTCCCAGAAAATAAAATACACAGAGTTTTTACAGAGCGAGTCCAAGAGCGAGTCCAAGACCGAGTCCAAGACCGAGTCCAAGACCGAGTCCAAGACCGAGTCCAAGAGCGAGTCCAAGAGCGAGTCCAAGAGCGAGTCCAACAGCGAGTCCAAGACCGAGTCCAAGACCGAGTCCAAGACCGAGTCCAAGACCGAGTCCAAGACCAAGTCCAAGACCGAAGCCACGGAACGTCTCGGTCTCTGCTCCATTAAGATAGAAGTGAATTTGTCAGAGAGGCTTCAAAAAACCGGAGTCTCAATCAGAAGACTGGGCATTTGGCAACGGACATGGCTCTGCTGCTGATGCCAAGACCAGAGCGAGACCAGAGAGAGACCAGAGACCAGAGCGAGACCAGAGAGAGACCAGAGACCAGAGAGAGACCAGAGAGAGACCAGAGACCAGAGAGAGACCAGAGAGAGACCAGAGACCAGAGAGAGACCAGAGAGAGACCAGAGACCAGAGAGAGACCAGAGAGAGACCAGAGAGAGACCAGAGAGAGACCAGAGACCAGAGAGAGACCAGAGAGAGACCAGAGAGAGACCAGAGAGAGACCAGAGAGAGACCAGAGAGAGACCAGAGAGAGACCAGAGACCAGAGAGAGACCAGAGCGAGACCAGAGAGAGACCAGAGACCAGAGAGAGACCAGAGAGAGACCAGAGAGAGACCAGAGAGAGACCAGAGAGAGACCAGAGACCAGAGAGAGACCAGAGACCAGAGCGAGACCAGAGAGAGACCAGAGACCAGAGAGAGACCAGAGAGAGAGACCAGAGACCAGAGCGAGACCAGAGAGAGACCAGAGAGAGACCAGAGAGAGACCAGAGACCAGAGAGAGACCAGAGAGAGACCAGAGAGAGACCATGTTCAGTATGCACTATGTGTGTACTATGGTCAGTTTGTACTATGTGTGTACTATGTGTACTATGGTCAGTGTGTACTATGGTCAGTGTGTACAGTGTGTACTATGTGTGTACTATGGTCAGTGTGTACTATGTGTGTACTATGGTCAGTGTGTACTATGTGTGTACTATGGTCAGTGTGTACTATGTGTGTACTATGGTCAGTGTGTACTATGTGTGTACTATGGTCAGTGTGTACTATGTGTGTACTATGGTCAGTGTGTACTATGTGTGTACTATGGTCAGTGTGTACTATGTGTGTACTATGGTCAGTGTGTACTATGTGTGTACTATGTGTGTACTATGGTCCAGTGGGAGCCTCCCCCACGGCTCCATTGAGTGGCGTGGTCTGCGATCAATGCCCCGAGGAGCAGGAGAGAGATGTGAAAAGAGGAGAGAGAGGAAGAGGAGAGAGGAGGAGGAGAGAGAGAGAGAGGAAGAGGAGAGAGGAGGAGGAGAGAGGAGAGAGAGGAAGAGGAGAGAGGAGGAGGAGAGAGGAGAGAGAGGAGGAGGAGAGAGAGGAAGAGGAGGAGGAGGAGGAGGAGAGAGAGGAAGAGGAGGAGAGAGAGTGAGGAAGAGGAGAGAGAGGAGTGAGGAAGAGGAGGAGAGAGAGTGAGGAAGAGGAGGAGGAGGAGGAGGAGAGAGAGGAGAGAGAGGAAGAGGAGAGAGGAGGAGGAGAGAGAGGAAGAGGAGGAGGAGGAGGAGGAGAGAGAGGAAGAGGAGGAGAGAGAGGAAGAGGAGAGAGAGGAAGAGGAGAGAGGAGAGGAGAGAGAGGAAGAGGAGAGAGGAGAGGAGAGAGAGGAAGAGGAGAGAGAGGAAGAGGCACAGAGGTCATCGCACAGACAGGACGGAGAACAATGTCACCGTCTGACCCTGAACACACCGAGCCGACAGTGACGTCAGAACCAGAGGATTAAAGAAGACGTATGGTGCTTCTGTTGTATGTGCAGATCTATGGTGACCTTTGACCTATGGTGACCTATGGTGATCTATGACCTATGGTGACCTATGGTGACCTATGGTGATCTATGACCTATGGTGACCTATGGTGACCTATAACCTATGGTGACCTACAGTATGACCTATGGTGACCTATGGTGACCTATGGGGATCTATGACCTATGGTGACCTATGGTGACCTATGACCTATGGTGACCTATGGTGACCTATGGTGACCTACAGTATGACCTATGGTGACCTATGGTGACCTATGGTGACCTATGACCTATGGTGACCTATGGTGATCTATGGTAACCTATGACCTATGGTGATCTATGGTGACCTATGGTGATCTATTGTATATATTTGTAGCTAACGCCGCTTTTAAAACAAAGAGAAATGAAAGCTAGGTTAGGGTTAGAGTTAGAGTTAGGGTTAGAGTTAGAGTTAGTTCAGACGTTGCTGAGACGGACTCAGCTCCGACTGTTTAACTCTTTTAGTAAATGAAGCGTCTGTCGTTCTTCAGATCATTAGAGCAGGACATCAGGGACATCAGGGACATCAGGGACATCAGGGACATCAGGGACATCAGGGCCATCAGGGTCATCAGGGCCATCAGGGACATCAGGGACATCAGGGACATCAGGGCCATCAGGGACATCAGGGCCATCAGGGACATCAGGGACATCAGGGCCATCAGGGCCATCAGGGACATCAGGGCCATCAGGGCCATCAGGGACATCAGGTACATCAGGGACATCAGGGACATCAGGGCCATCAGGGCCATCAGGGACATCAGGTACATCAGGGACATCAGGGACATCAGGGCCATCAGGGCCATCAGGGCCATCAGGTACATCAGGGACATCAGGGCCATCAGGGACATCAGGGACATCAGGGACATCAGGGACATCAGGGCCATCAGGGACATCAGGGCCATCAGGGACATCAGGGACATCAGGGACATCAGGGACATCAGGGCCATCAGGGACATCAGGGACATCAGGGCCATCAGGGACATCAGGTACATCAGGGACATCAGGGCCATCAGGGACATCAGGGCCATCAGGGCCATCAGGGACATCAGGTACATCAGGGACATCAGGGCCATCAGGGACATCAGGGACATCAGGGACATCAGGGCCATCAGGGACATCAGGGCCATCAGGGCCATCAGGGACATCAGGGCCATCAGGGACATCAGGGACATCAGGGACATCAGGGACATCAGGGCCATCAGGGACATCAGGGCCATCAGGGCCATCAGGGACATCAGGTACATCAGGGACATCAGGTACATCAGGGACATCAGGGCCATCAGGGACATCAGGGACATCAGGGACATCAGGGACATCAGGGCCATCAGGTACATCAGGGACATCAGGGACATCAGGGACATCAGGGACATCAGGGCCATCAGGGACATCAGGGACATCAGGGACATCAGGGCCATCAGGGCCATCAGGGACATCAGGGAGCTTAGTGTCTGAGTAAGCTAACGCTAGCTGGATGAAGTCAGAGTCATTATTATAGTGCTTTTCTGGGCTCTCACAGACGCTGGTGTTTATTATAGTCCTGTACAGTTCTGGTAAAGCGGTGCTTTCTCAGTGATCAGTCGTTTGCTTCATGTAGAATCTTCTGTCACTCTGCGTCACCGACACTCACACATGGTTTAGAACAGAAAGTCAATCCTGTCAAACCCTAGCGCCGGGGTGTCCAGACTTTTAGTAATGGGGCCACTTTCAATCACCAAAATGTGTGGATTCAGGATATTCTCAGCTTTAGCATTTATATAAGGAATGTTTATGTATGAATTTCTACAGAATAAAAATGTTACTAAACAAAAGAAAACGATCTGAGACTAATATAGAGGGATCCTACGGTCACGTGACTAGCAGCCACGGCAGCCATACTGGAGGACAACCTCGGCGAGTAACAGCCCTGCTAGCTCTCTATAACTGGACGTTCAAAACTAGAACTCTCTCGAACTACATGAAAACTGAACATAGAATTTCAAACTTCAGCAGTTAGTGACCCAAATATATACTCAACCTAAATTCATGAATCAGATCCTCTGGAAATGCATCCTAAAATGTATTATTAATGTTTATCGTTACATCCAGGTTTACCGCGGTCGCATATTGTCGCATTAAAACAGTGTTTTTTCATGAAAACGTGAACAGAACATTCTGAAAACCTCTGTGCACGTGTATTAAGAATGTATAATGTATTCTCCGATTAACATTTAATGTGTTTTTTGTTACACCATGGATCTATGTGTGGCTACACTGCAGTGGAAATAATGAGATTACATTCAAATCAATGGAGCTTTCTGCGTCTACTGTGAGGAGCCGTATATTTTATTAATAAATACTAGTACGGGGCACCCTCGAGCACGGCTCAGTCGTTCACATGTCTGCTGGCCTTCGGTAAGTCAGATCCCCTGTGAACCGGGTGAGGTCCTGTGTGAGACCAAATATATAACAGCTATGCTACAAGCTAAGCTACAAGCTAAGCTACAAGCTAAGCTACAAGCTAAGCTACAAGCTAAGCTACAAGCTAAGCTACAAGCTAAGCTACAGTCTATGGAGCAACCCCACGTTGCAGTCAGACAGATTGTGATGTTTTATCCTTAAACTTCTGTTTGTTTCGGAATAACACTAAATCCGCCATCAAATTGATTTCACTTAGCAGAAATGAAATGATCCGAGCATATTCGGGCGCTCTGGTGGCTATTAGTTTTTTGTTGTTGCGAATATGTTGTGCCATTTCTCTCTCGTTTCTTTCAGATGTCTTCTGTTTTTGAGCCGTGTGAAGTAAGGACGGCTGGCAGTCGGTAACACAACTTATTTTCCCTGTCTCTCCTTTTGCTGCAGCCAAAAACGGCAACAAATTTGAACATGTTAATGCGGTCCCGGGTGCACGCCACTATCATACAGCGTTTGCTTGTCCTCCAGTATGGTTGCCCCGCGAGGTCGAGGCATCGTGACGTCACGTGAGATATCTCTATTACACTCCTGTTACATGCTCTGCTTTCTGTGGAGGAGGTGAGGGACAGGAGGCCCCTGGACTCTGTGGAGGAGGTGAGGGACAGGAGGCCCCTGGACTCTGTGGAGGAGGTGAGGGACAGGAGGCCCCTGGACTCTGTGGAGGAGGTGAGGGACAGGAGGCCCCTGGACTCTGTGGAGGAGGTGAGGGACAGGAGGCCCCTGGACTCTGTGGAGGAGGTGAGGGACAGGAGGCCCCTGGACTCTGTGGAGGAGGTTCTAGTCAAAGTCACCTCCTTCATGAAAAACACCTCCCACTGCACAGGACTGAGGAGGAGCTCCTTCAGTGGAAGAAGGAGCTGGGCCTTTATCCCCACCGCTGTCAGACTGTACAACAAGTCACTTTAAGTCACTGTATATGACTGAAAAACCTGCACTATTTATGTACATAATATATCCTGCATTTAACACGTTTACACATTTCCTCCGAGCCAAATGTGACATGTACATTTCTCCTCCTTGTGAGATAAATAAAGAAGATCTTTTCTTTTCTTTTGCTTGTTGACATTTGCAAGAATCAAAGCGTCTCAGGACAGAAATAACGCGGCCTCCATCGCTCTGCAGCTCGCTCTGCAGCTCGCTCTGCAGCTCGCTCTGCAGCTCGCTCTGCAGCTCACTCTGCAGCTCACTCTGCAGCTGCAGCACTCTGCAGCTCACTCTGCTGCTCCTCTGCAGCTCGCTCTGCAGCTCACTCTGCAGCTCGCTCTGCAGCTCGCTCTGCAGCTCACTCTGCAGCTCTGCAGCTCACTCTGCAGCTCGCTCTGCAGCTCGCTCTGCAGCTCGCGCTCTGCAGCTCACTCTGCAGCTCACTCTGCAGCTCGCTCTGCAGCTCGCTCTGCAGCTCACTCTGCGCTCGCTCTGCAGCTCGCTCTGCAGCTCTGCAGCTCACTCTGCAGCTCGCTCTGCAGCTCGCTCTGCAGCTCGCTCTGCAGCTCGCTCTGCAGCTCACTCTGCAGCTCACTCTGCAGCTCGCTCTGCAGCTCACTCTGCAGCTCACTCTGCAGCTCGCTCTGCAGCTCGCTCTGCAGCTCACTCTGCAGCTCGCTCTGCAGCTCGCTCTGCAGCTCACTCTGCAGCAGCAGCTCGCTCTGCAGCTCACTCTGGGCATCAATGATTCAACATCACTTATCTGTGAGACTAGCGCCTCCTGCTGGGGACAGATGTGTCCTGGGGCTGGACCTACAGTCGTACTTTCATAACCGTGTTCTCTCACTGGAGACAGACCTGGAGTGGTGTTTAGCTCCTTCCACACTACGCTAATATAACACACACTCGTCTGTTAGAAAGCTCATTTTTCAAACTTAAAGATAATAATACGTTTTTTTTTATGCAGTGTTTTTCTGGACACTCAAATAAGCTTCTCTCATCCTCTTTCAGACAACTGCCTAAGAAGGACACAGCCACAGCCGCCCCACTGAGGCCCCTGATGTTCCCAGAGGTCTCCCATCACAGCACTAACCAGGCCCTGCCCTGCTTAGCTTCAGAGGTCTTTACATGCAGATGACAGAACAAAATTCTAGGCTCAAAAGTAGTTGTGAGGATTTAACGAATGTGAAAATCATTTTGAATCATTATTTTAAAGCTGGGGTACCTGACCTCTCAAACACTTACAATACAATACAATTACAATGTATTCTTGTATAGCCCTAGGTCACAATAGAAGTCATCTCAGAGACTTAACAAAACCATTGAAATCACCAACACAGGTCAGAGAATCAACAGTTAAAACACATGAAGAATATAAAGCACACACAGAAGAAAATGTCCATACATGTTGTAGAATGCTAAAGTGTCCTGATCATCACCAATCCTTTCTGTTGGACACTAACTGTCCAACAAGACCCTCCTGCATCCACAAGGAACAACTCTTAAAAAACCCAGTGGGAAAAAGTGAGAAACCTTTGGTTCAATCTCTAGTTTTCACATGTAAGATCTGCTTTATCCGACAGAATAGTGACAAAGAGAGACCCCCTCTCTCAGCCAATCAGCTCTCAGCCAACCAGCTATCAGCCAATCAGCTCTCAGCCATCAGCCAATCAGCTATCAGCCAATCAGCTATCAGCCAATCAGCTCTCAGCCAATCAGCTCTCAGCCAATCAGCTCTATTGTGCATGTTTTTAGTGGGAGGGGAAAACGGAGCACCCGGAGGAAACCTACACAGACATGGGGAGAACATGCAAACTCCACTCAGAAAGGCCCTGTTCCGACCGGGATTTGACCACAGAACCTTCTTGCTTAGAAGTGGGAGTGCTTTTACTGAAAATATGTTTTAGGTTTTCCAAACTTTCAACTTCAAGAAGAGATTGTTTTATCCATTTTTAAACAGAAATGTCACAATAAAAACCATTATTTTTTATCACGTTATTAAAAAAGTGACATTAATAAAACTCACAAATCTCTCTCATAAACACGCTTCAAAATGAAACTTATTCTTGTGTTTTTCCAGAGACAGGGCCAGATTTGTGACCGGCTTCAGAAACTGTGAAATTAACAAATAAATGTGCGTCGGGAGAATCCAGACGGAGCGAGTCGCCGCGCTTCTAAATATTTGATGTTTTCAGAGATTGTGGCTCACAAGAGAAAGAGCGGCTGCAAAGGTTCTGGTTCTGGTTCTGTGAGGTTTGGGTTTAACCAGAAAGCATTTAATATTATTATTATTATTATCATCTTTCCACAGATTTCCCAAAGAGATGAAGAGAAATGTCAGTGTTGCATCATCAGGAACAACAGCAGAAAACTGAAATAAAACAAGTCCGACTTTTTTTTTTTTCTGTTTCTATTTGTAGTTTATTTAGTAATATTTAGTATTGTTTATTAATGTTTAGTAATGTTTAAATGTATTTGTTTTC